TAATATAATATAATATAATATAATATAATATAATATAATATAATATAATATAATATAATATAATATAATATAATATAATATAATGCAATATAATATAATATAATATGATATCATGTAATATATTATAATATAACACAATATAATATAACATTATATTATATAAAATAATGTGTAATATTATACTATTATCATATTAGGAATATATAAATATATACATAAATGTATCTCTCTCTCTCTCTCTCTCTCTCTCTCTGTATATATATACTCATACTCACCATTTAGATTGTTGTCAGTTGGGGCGCTCTGTCAGAGAAAGACAAACAAAAAAAACTAACTCAGATTTAGTTGTGAAATCTCAGCATTTCATTCCTCTCATCTTGCTGTTTTTTCCCGGCCTGCAGAGCAGAATACATTATTTAACACCAGGAGATGGCCAGTCTTACCAGAGAAAAGTCCCTCAGTGAGAAGAAGAAGAGGCAGAGGAAGAGCAGAGCTGGGGCCATGCTGCCGGATAAAAGCCTGGAACTGGACCTGAGTGATGTCCCCTCCTGTTTATAAACCGTCATCGTCTGATCAGAAAGATTCCCCAAAACCATTCACATGAAAAACTGAGTCAATGATCCTTTTTAGGGACGGAAATCACATCATCGTTCATTTGTCATTGTTCCATCCTCTGAACAATAGTTAATCATAACCTTTAAAAATGCCTGATATGTCACAACCAGATTGCCAAAGAAAATTGGGAATGTAAATATGAAGAATTACATAGCTTCTATATCTTATGATGCATTTAAATCAATATCCTGTTCATAGATAAACATACAAGATGATAAATACTGATACAGGATGATATTTAACTAGACTTTGATGGTGATAAAAGTTGGAGCTGGACCCATATGAGTGTGGAAAACTCATGAATCCCAACAGGAAACAGCAGTAAGAATATATGAGAACTCAATGGGTTGAATAGAAACAAACCTGTAAGATAAGTGACCATAAAAAGAGCACCCCTGTGAGGCAGAGTCTCTCATGGGCAGCAGCTCTCCAGCCGGAAAACAACAAGTACCCAAATGTTGCTCTTTAAGTTGGAAAAAACTTTGAGTCTTTCATCATTTCTGTGGACAAAATCCCCAAAAGTCGGTGGTGGCTTTGGTGCTCTGGATCAAAGACTTGTGGGAAAGCAGACCAGTTTTTACCAAAGATTTAAACTTCAGTTATGAGTCAGAGGTTTGGGCTCTCACTATCCAAAAACGTGCACGTTCGGTTCCTTTGCATGTTGGTTATTGGTTTACTTTGTGTCTGAGTGGGTTCTCTGAGGGACTCTGCCCCCCCCCCCCCCCCCCCCCCCCCCCAGAAACATGCATGTTGGGTCTAAACTGGTTGTTTGTGATGAAGGAACGATTGAATAAATTTCTTCTTTCTTTTTTGGTGTTGGAGGTGTATTTATGAAACATTAACAGACTCACTGGCTCTGGTTTAATCAAACGTGAGTAATCTGTGGGTGGAGCAGCTTCTCCAAATGGGGAATCGGTTTAGAAACAGGAAGGAAGACGAGTCATAAACTGGGATCTTATCAGGGTTAATCAGAAACCTCAGACGTGAAATCCCCCTGATGAAGAAATGCCCATTTATGCATATTTATATATATATATATATGTACATATATGGATTTCTAAGCCATCATGTTGTAATCTGACCTCTTGTGCATTTCATGAATAAATCTGAAGGCATAAAGTTTGTCTTGTCATGCTTCACCCCAATTAATCATTGTCTTATTACAATGATACAAAATGCGAACATATATATATATTCATATAACTTTTTTGTTCCCTAAAAATCAACTTAGATTTAGTTTAGAAATCACAGCATTTCATTTATTTTATCTGGCTGTTTCTAGGACTGCAGGGCAGAATGCATTATTTAACACTATGACACACACACACACACACACACAAACACACACACGCACACATACATGTATAATTTAACATCTTAGTTGTAAATACTGGTTAACCCTCAAATTATGTTGAAAAATAACGTTTTGACCCGTACCATGTAAATGAATGCAAAACAGGTTAAACCAACAAACAATTATGTAACATTGAATAAACCTTTAGATAAGTGACATACAATACATTTTTAATTCCAACACTTTCTTTAAATACATTTAAAAACACATTCAAATTAAAACTATCTGTCAGACCTCCAACATTTTGTTTGTTTTGTCAGCTGCAAAATTAACCAAAAATGAGAAGATCTGACCAAGAATTCAGCCCTTGTGGTCTGAATGGGAGGAAACATCATCCTGCATTTGTTTATTTAGCTGCTTTGATTTCAGGTTAATGAGGAATTTAGTCTTTGCACTTTTTTTTACTATCACATCACAGATAAGCGGTGGAGAATGGATGGATGGATGGATGTGTCCAGACCAAAAGCTTTTCTTTCTCCTTTAAAAGTAAGAAAAGAGCAGTGAGGAAATCATTTTAAAAAATGAGGAAGAAGCACATGATGACATCGGAGGCTGATTACAGAGAAAAGGGAACTGTAGGTCACTTTATCAGTCAATTATGTCATTTTGTCTCCCCACAAGTCCCAATCAAGGGTTCCTACCTTTTCTTTCTTATCCAAGACCTGCATGTTAGGTTGTTGGACTCCAAACTGCCCTTAGTGTGAGTGTGTGTGCTTGTTGGTCCTTGTGTGTCTCTGTGTGTCCCTGTGATGTACTGGGGACCGTCCAGGGTGACACCGCCTCTCCCCATTGGCTACTGGGATAGCCCCGAACTTCCCCAACACTGATGCAGTTTTAGGTTTTTTATGACGTTAAAAACACGAGGATCTGGACTTTGGTTATCCACCGCTGATGTGGGGTCAGTTCTTTCTAACCTTCTTTACAGCGTTTTTCTTTTGTGTGAGTAGCCTTTTCAACAGACGTAATTATGCATCTTATTATTCCGGGTTTCTCCAAAATGATCCAAACCATGATCATGACATCTGATCTGTCCAGTTTCTTAAAATGAGGAACCAGCACTACCATGATGTTTGATGTTTATTTTTATTTCATTGCAGAAGATATCACAAAGTCACTGATTACAGCATTTAGAGAGCACCCAGAAAAGGCAAGACCTTAAACAGAAATTAGCTCGAGTATAGAGACATTTTTAAAGTTCTATTATGATTTTATAAGAACACTCAGGAAAATATTGTTTTTTAAACTGGTTGTAATTCTCCTTTTTCGCTGAGATTAGAGTTGTCAATGTTCTGTATGTCTCTACTTTGAAATAGGAATTAGAAAATAATTCCTCCCACCACTGCAGGGTTTAATATTTTTCATCAGGCATCTAGTCTACCGTCACCAAATCGAACCAGTATGGAAAGGAGCAAACTTAAACAATCAGGCTGTAGTTACGCGGATGGCCAGAGAGAGGTCAGACCTCCGTTAAAGCGCTGTCCAGCTTTCCTCATCCAGCAGCTTTGCTGGAGTGGAGATGTCTGGAGGACCACCCCTTCGTCACCATGCTCCACTCTGGTTATGAAAACAGAAAACCAAGTCAGGAGTGTTGAGTTTTAACGGCAGATTGACTCAGCGAAAAAGGCTAAATCTAAAATTGGTATTATTACTGCTATCATTATCATTAGCATTAATATCATTATGATTTTTCTTCTTTCTCTCTGTCTGTCTCTCTCCCTCTCTTGCCCTTTCTATCTGTCACCCCCCCCCCCTTAAGGCAGATGCCCCCCTTTCCTCTGGTTCTGCTCCAGGTTTCTTCCCCCTAAAGGCAGTTGTTTCCTCCCTGTGTCTCCTAGTGCTGCTCTTGGTGGAAGTGTTGTTCTTCTGTGAATAACTCAGAGTCTGAGCTGCTCTGTTTGGAAAACTGGGAGATAACTGATGTTGGGATTTGGAGCTACAGAAATAAAGTTGAGTTGAACTACTAAACGAGGGGTTCTGGGCTGGTTTTGAACTCACAGCATCGGTAGAGGCGGTTGACGCGGGCGATGTCGTTGGCGCTCATCTCCCTGGCGTTTCCAAACACCAGGTTAGGGTTGGATTTGGCGACGATGGTGGGCTGCCCGTTCCTGGAGAAGGCAGTTCTGCGAAAAGCCGTAGATCCATGTTTTAGTGATGTGCAGACAAAAAAGCAAACAGCCACACTCAAACAAACTCAGACACTCACCTGCCGTAGTGCATCACAGAGTTGAAGTCGTAGGGAGTCTGCAGGTTGTTGGTGTTCACCTTACGGAAGTTATGTTCTCTTCCTGTGAAGAAAACACAAAAGTGTGTTTATTCTAAGCTGGAAAAGCATAATTTCTTGTCTTTCTATCTATATATATCCATCCTCCTGGTTTCTAGCTGAAAGCAGGAGCGGAAACCTGGAGCTGAAACCTGGAGCTCAATCCAAGGTCTGAAACCAGGATCTGAATCCAGGATCTGAATCCAAGGTCTGAAACCAGGAGCTGAAACCAGGATCTGAAACCAGGATCTGAAACCTGGAGCTGAAACCTGGAGCTGAAACTAGGAGCTGAAACCTGGAGCTGAATCCAAGGTCTGAAACCTGGAGCTGAA